AACAACTCTGCTTTTCCGCCCTGGGCTTGAGGGTGTTTTATCCCAAGGGGGTCACCGACCACACCTCCTTGGTTTTTTTTTTAGGAATAGTCAAACCAACTGGATGCGAATGAAGCGGTTTTTGGTTTCCATGTAGGAACTGACCACACCTCCTTGGTTTTTTTTTAGGGATAGTCAAACCAACTGGATGCGAAAGAAGCGGTTTTTGGTTTCCATGTAGGCGGATAAAGCAGCGAAATGGTCCGTGCAATTCGCTTCGATTTTATTTTTTTTTTAAATCACTCAGAGAAAGCGGGTGATGTTTGAAGTCTGGCCCCCTCGGTTCTACAAGCTAAAGGCGTTCACACGTTTGGCTAAGAGCCAGCAAGAGGAGCGCGCGCACGTGTGAACCCGCCGCCAGTCAACACGCGTACGTGTAAATAGCCCCTGCCGTCCCAGATTTTCTTCACGTTCACGATAGCCCAAAACTCACCTCAACGGCCGCCGCCGCCTCCCGCCCCCCTGATTTGAAACGGAGGGGGGGAATCCACTCCAAAATGGCGCCAGCGGAGAGCATTTGCGCATGCTCAGTCTCTTTCCCGGGCGGGGTTCACGTCTGTCTCGGCACACCTCGGACCACAACTCCCGGCCTGCCCCGCGGCCAATAGCATCACAATGCTCCCCTGCCACATCGCCCCCCGCTGCTCGGCCGGAGGAGTTACAGGCGGGAGGAAGGCGATCCGGCTGGAAGGGATGCTACGGGAGGCGGCGCCCAGGTGAGCCGCTACCTGTTGTGGTGGCATCGCGTTGCAAACAGTTCTCTCTCTGGGACGAATCCGTCCGTAAGAGAGCTGGAGGGAGTGACGGAGTTTGAGTACGAGAGGGATCCCGTCTTCGGGCAGTGAGTGACACTAGACCAGAGATGAGGACATGTTTTCATTCATTCATTCATTCAGAATATTTCTAACCCACATTTATTCTTTAAAAGGACCCATGGTGGCGTATATCATTAAAAAACAATATTAAAGCTAAAAACAATTAGATATACAAAGACTGAAAAAGAGCAAGCAAATACTGTTCTTAGAAATAGTGAACAAAAATTATATTTAGAAACACATTCCTAGCAGTAAAGCATAAACAATCCATTTTAAAATCTCACTCCAGCAGCCAGTCGCTGAGAGAAAGCTTCTCTGAAGAGAAAGGTATTTGCCTGCCTGCAGAAGGACAGCCAAGATGGGGCCAGCCTGGCTTCCTGTGGGAGGGAGTTCCAAAGTCTATATATGGGTTGTATATTTACTGCAAGCCAGCAATGAATGCATAAAAACAGTACAAGCCAATATGTAGCAGCATCAGATGACGCTGGCAGTTGAAAATGATAAAGGAATAACCATATTGCAACTTGAAATTGAGAAACAACTTAAGTTTAGGAAAGGGATGTGTGGCTCGAGAAATTGTTACATGGAGAATGGTGCAGTTACTTACTGGATGACAATGTTAATGAGCAACAATTGAACCTGTGCCTTAAATTAGGTCAAACCAGGCTTTTGATGGTTACACGCAATTGATGACCAATTTATTTGTACTCCATATGATCAGAAAATAGCTATGAAGCAAGAGGTACATGATCTATGTAGATCAACTCATGTCACAAATATAAATAAACAATTTGTCATATCATAACTAGATGTCCTAAACTAGCACCAATGGATTATATGTGCAGGCATAAGATGATTTTTCAGCAGCTAGCTAAATTTCATTCCCCTCTTTTTATCCACATCATAAATCCGAGCCACCTCCAGTGTTAGAAAATGAAACCACAAAGCTATACCTGGACAAGCAAATACAGAGGAAACCGTTGAATTTAGTAAGTCAGGTGTTATACCTCTGGATGAGCAACACAGAAAAACGTAATTTACAGAAGTTGGAGTTCCATTAACAAGCAACCTCAAAAGAAACCCAATAAACAAAAATTGCAGAGTAACAAACATTAAGGCAATAAATTAAAAGAAAATGAAGGCAGTATAAGGTCATCCTTCTCCCTATCTTAATTTCAGATCTTTGGTTACCAATGGAAAACAGTTGCCAATAACTGCTAATTTGCTTCCTGGGCTCCAGAAATCAGTGATTTTGGAAAGATGTTATCCCACTTCCAGATTTTTAGGACTTTGGTCCACTCCCCAGCACTAGCCATGCTGAGAGACAAGAAGTTCGATAATAAGAATGATAGTGGGGATAATGTGTAATGGAGAAAAGCTGGTGATGCTCCCTTTTGCTCCTTCTGTGCATCTTTGATAGTGATATTCATTCATTTATTCATTCCATTTCATTCATATCAAATCCATCCAGTGGCAAGCCACTATTCTGGATGGTTAACAACAATTGAACGCACATGTTGTTGTTACGTTCTGTCAAATCAGAACCTATTTATAGTGACCCTTACAGGGTTTTCAAATTAAGTGAGATATTTAAGGATTGGGTTTTATCTGTTCCACTCCCCCAAGTGAGCTTCCATAGCTGAGCAGGGACTCCAGAGTGCTAGTCCTTTGCTCTGTCCACTACACCACACTGGGAACCATGAGAACATACACCCCCACCCACAAACAGAGATCACGCAAATCATAAATACAACAAGCCTCCCCTCTCAAAGGCAACAGCACACAGCATTCAAATACAATCGCATGGCTCAGCCAGAATGTTGGGGGGCAGGATGTTCCTAAAGGCCTTGTTGAAAAGCTCCGATGTCACATCTTTCGTGAAGGTTCAGCAGGTCTTGGGAAGACCAGGTAGATGACCTTAAGTGACACATCCTGCTATTTACCCATCCATTGGTTTGACTTCTTCACAGGTAGATGGACGAAGTCTGTGAGACGAAGTTCGTGGACTATAAGGAAACTGCAGATGAAGTCTGTGAGAAAGTTTTGTCATACATCCGAGAAGATACATCAGGATGGAAAGTGGTAAAACGTACAGTAAGAACATTGCCGTTTGTCTTTTTTTTTTAAGGACTATTTCTCCCTTGTGAATAAGACTTTAAAAAGGGTCTGTATCAAATGTTAATATTGCTCCTGGAGATGCAAGTCAGTATTAATAAATTTTTTGCTTGAAAGAAAAAGAGGAGAAACCCCCTATGCCTACTGGAGGTGATTCTTGTTTCTTACAAATATCAGGGGAAAGAATCTAGGTAAATTTTGGCTTAATGTTTAATCCCATTGAATCAATGGTGCTTACTTCTAAGTAGGGTTGGGGACTTGAGTGACGGGACTTGTTGTCAAGTCAGACTTACAGTGGGCCCTCTAATTAAGGAATTAATCTGTATTTGAATGGTGGCTGCAAGTCGAAAAGTCTGTAAATCGAATCTCCATTGACCTACAATGCACTGAAAACTGATTAATCCCATAACCAGTGGTTTTTATTCTATTTTTATTCCATTTTGGTTTTTTTCTGGTCTGTAAGTCGATTCTCTGGCTGCAAGTCGAATCTAAATTTTGCAGCCAGAGAAGTCTGTAACTCAAAAAGTCTGTAAGTCGAGACGTCTGTAAGTCGAGGGTCCACTGTAATTCGCACCAGTGACTTGACTTGGATTTGGCTCAGGGTTTGTTTTTTCCCCAATGACTTGGACTTGACTTATGTCTCGGAACCCACCCATCCTCTCCCTCCCTTTTTTTTCTGGGGAAAAATGTCTTGTTTTTAATAGGGACTCAAATTTGGGTTTAGGGATTCAGGTCTTGGTACTAAAAAGTCGGGCCCGGTATCCAGACCCAAAGACTTGCCACTATCTCTGCTTCTAAGTAGACTTGTATAAGATGCACTGTTAGGAGTTATATGTACAGTATGTTGCTTAGCAGCAGCCAAAGTTTCACAAAACATAATGCAGCTAATTGTGACTAACTGACAATGTGCTGGACCACTTCTCAATCATGTGACTGGTCAGATGCCCAGTTGCACAACCAAGGGTGTGATTACGCTAGGAAATTGATCACAATCTGCACCAAACGTGGAGTTAGTCCAGTAAAGTCTTTTCCCCAACAATCTGGGGAAATGTGCTGCAGCCCAACCCCAAGATTGACCTTTTTTGATCCTGCTGTAGGGCTTCTACTTTTTGAGGGCAGGCTAGCATGTTTCCTCTGCAGATGGAAAGGTCACTTTAAGGGAGATTGCTTCCATTGAAGGGACACTTCCTAGTGAGATCAGACACACAACTTCACAGCCATCTGATTGCACTTCAAGATACATTCTAAAACTTCATCAGTTAGCCACAATTAAGTGTAACATGTTATACAAACCTTATAGAAACACCAATAGCATTTAAGCCTCTGTGTTTGATTATTATTTTTTTTCTTTATTGTCACTCCAAGAAACACATTTCAGTGTTGGCGAAGCCTTCAGGAGACTTCTGTGGAACTCTGTAAGTATATGCAAGTGTTTATTTTTACAGTATTTTCTTCCATGGTCTCCCTCTGAACAGCAGCATAAATCTGTCACGGCTGTTTGGACATTTTGCAGTCCAGAAACAATTAATGGTGAAAGTCATGTTCACAATGCAGACTTAAACTGGTTTTGCAGTTATTCCTTCACCTCATGGAGCCCTGAGACTGGCACATCAACCAGGTGGCCATTCTGATATTCCATGACGTGAAGAATGCCATGATGCCATTATCTTTTATTTTTGTTTGGCAAACTGATAGTGTCTTTTGCGACAATGGCTCGTGCTCTTATTTCTTAATTTAAATAAATAAATGAAGGTGGAAGGAAAACAAAAATACAGGAAAATGTAGTCTGGGGCATTGTTTTCTCTTTTTTTCTCTCGGTGTCAGAAACACTACAGCACAATTAATAAATATATCAGATAATTTTTACCCTATAACAAGTCCAGGAAGCAAGAGCATTTGAGGCAGCTAGAATCAGGTCTTCTATGGTACATGGTGAAGACAGATTGAGTACACTGACATTGGTGTAGGGTGTACAGACAAGCATGTGGTTTAAAAAGTTTGTTGAGGACTGAAGGAAGCCATGTTCTAATCCCCACTTGATCCTAAAGCTTTGTCTAGGTTGGACCTATCTCACAGAGTCTTTGGGAAGATAAATAGTGGTAGAATAACTCTACACACCATCTTGCTTTCGTTCCTTGGAGGAAAAGTCTTCCACATATTGTTTGTATGATCCTCAAGCTTTGATGGCAGCTACTGCCTTTATCCACAGATGGTCATACCAAACATATCCTTCTGTTGGTAACTTTCTAGTGATGCAATAAAAGTATTATCCAACCCAAACGTTTCTTTCTATGGATGGAACATGTGGCTGCTTTGATTTCCCCCATCCCGCAAAGCTCTGATGACACAGCCCTTAATCTTCCTGACACCCACACTGTTCCAGTAACAGTGAAACAGGAGAAAGAGTGCTTCCTTCATGTGTCTGCTTGGAAGAGTTAATGATTTTGTATTACAGTGGTGCCTCGCTAGACGATGATAATCCGTTCCACTGAAATAGCTGTTTAGCGAAATGATTGTCTAGCGAAAAGCATTTCCCCATTGGAATGCATTGAAACCTGTTTAATGCGTTCCAATGGGGAAGAATCGTCGTTGTCTAGCGAAGATCGGCCATAGGAAAGCCCCTTTGCGAACCGCCAATCAGCTGTTTAAATCGCAGTCTTGCGAAGCTTAGGTCACGAAAACACTTTTTTTACGAGCGTGGAGGGAGCTGTCAAAATCGTCATCTAGCGAAAATCGGTTTGCGAAGCAGAGACCAAACATTGTCCAGCGAAATTCCCCCATAGGAAGCACTGTTTTGCGAATAGCTATAGCGATTGCAAAAAGCCAGTGTCTAGTGAAAAAACTGTCATGTGGGAATAACTGTTTAGCGAGGCACCACTGTACATCTCTTAGCATCTCCCAGCGGACACAGTTACCTGTGGGATATTCTGGGCGGTGTGATCCAATAAACATTTCCAAGCACATTCTCTTATTTGTTTTGTAATTAGGATAAGCATCAGACTTGCTGATGCTCCACACACCTCTAGTTTTGGGGTTTTACTTAAATATCCGTGATATGTGATTATAATTTTACTAGTTTATGGACAAAATCTTTTTGCCTCCCATCAAATATCTGACACTCTTTGGAATCCAGAGATAGGAAAAGTTAATTTTTGGGATCACGGCTCCCAGGATACTTTGCCACTGGCCATGTGGCTCATGGTATTCTGCAAGGTATACTTCAAAAGTAGTTTCCCCAGTCTCTAAGGAAATCACTTAGGTGGAGGAAGAGAACAGGCAGATCTAAGCTAGGGAATTCTCAGGGCCTTGTACCCAGTGATGCTGAATTACTTTTCCTTCTAGATATCGTGCTGAAGCGCGGATAGAAGTACCAGCTGAGAAACTTTTCCCTTTCATGTACCTTCCTGAATACCGTGAGAAGTGGGATAAAGCGGTACAGTCCTACAGACTTGTGGAAACTATTGACCAGGTGATTCAGTAAGTTAATGGAGAGCTTCCCAATACTGAAGTTTGGGTGAACTGGAATAGTTCGTAGACAATGTTTTCAGTGCCTTTGACTGCTACATACTATAGAGAACCCCACAGATGTGGCTTCTTACTTGGTAGAGTGCTCTAGCAGGAAAGTTATGTCTGATAATATTTGAAGGACATTGTATATAAAGTATAAAAGTATAGATGGGCATAAACCTAGGTACAGAGGTTTGTGCCGATTCATTGGTATGGTACCACAGGTGCTGTATGTCCCTTCCCCTCCCTGGGCTGGTTTCCCCCACTCTCTAGCTGGTATAAGGAGGCAGGGCAGGGCAGGGATTCCTGCAGCACGGAGTGGGCGGCTGCTGGAGGAGGCAGAGGCAGGAAGCATGTGCTCCTGTTGCAATTGGACGATCATGCAAAGAGAGAAAGGCAGTGCCTGCTGACTGGTGAGTAGAGGAGCTGGCCAGGGGTGGGGGAAGGGGATGTGAGACACCTCTGGCGCAGTGCTGACAAACCCTCACAAACCTCAGAACCAAGGTTCGTGCCCATCTCATCTCTCTCTCTATGTGACTTCCAAGACAAAAAAAGCCAAGTTGATTTATTATTTATGTATTTAAAATATTTTTACCCCACCTTTCTCCTTAAAACTCACAACACTACAAGGATATGTTAAAGCTAAAAGCAATACATTTATAAATAGTAAAGAAGAATTAAACATTAAAATGGTAAATAAAATCAATGCTAACAACACATTTAAAAGCAACAGAGCACCACAATCTGATTTCAAAGACCCCTCTCAGGCTGCCAGTCAGTAAGGAAAAGTCTATCTCAAGAGGAAGGTCTTTGCTTGCTTGCAGAAGGACAGCAAGCATGGGGCCAGGCGGGCTTCCTGTGGGAAGCTGTATGTATGTTTTGTGTAATGTAGCATAATGCAGCTGGTTTTTGTTAAAGAAATGATGGGTGCAAGCCAGATCAGAGCTTTGAAAAGCAAATATCATGGATGACAACTCCAAAAGAAATAGTTTTTTTTTAAAAAGAATCTGAGCTGTAGCCAGCCATAAGCCAGCTGAGGACTCTAGCAGGGTAGAGGTAGTGTCCCAGTCAGACCATTCCTGTGGCTCTACATCCTAGTTGAGAATCAGTCCTTATCCAAATTTTCTCCCCTTGGAAATTGACTATGCAGAGGGAAGCGTGCTTTCTGCAGGTTGTTTGACAGAAAGAGGTGATGTCATGTCAAGCCAGGTAACAACATGTGTTGCGCCTAGCTTTGTCCAGAAAGACGAGCCCTTATAAGGGCTGCTTAAAGTGTCATTTGGTTTATGGCCCCGTGTATCCCGGGGAAAGCCAGGCCGGAGAGCCTTGTGGAGTGGGTGATTCGCAGGGGGAAGGCAACGGGGCAGGATATATATATATATATATCTTTCCATCAGGGTTTTAAATCCTTCCAATTCCATCCATATTCCATTCCATCAGGAAGAGGGATGTGAGACCTTCCAGAGGTTTCTGACTTACAGTTCCCATTATCTTCCATCCTTAGTTATGCTGGCTAGGATCTGCAGCCCATTCCATTCATGGAAACTGGAATTTTTCTTTTAATTGTTTGTGCCCTCCACGGCCATTGTCTGCATCCACATGTAGGTGCAACATGGGACAACGTATCTGTCTTGTTAAAGGAACAGGCTACAACTTGGTAGTAAAGCCCATGTTTTTCAGGCAGAATGTTCCCCGATTTGGTGGTTTCGGTACCTGGCTGTGGAGCCAGAGGTTGGGTGTTCGAATCCCCCATAGTGCCTCTTTATGGCTGGGCTCCATGATCCATAAGGTCCCTTCCAACTCTGCTGTTCTAAAATTAAGAGTTCCAGGTGAGGCTGGGTAAGAAACCCAGCATGAAGCTATAGCAAGATTCTGCCTGTCAGAGATGAGAGGATTGGGCTAGAGCAGGGGTCAAGCAAAGTTTGGCCCTTGGGCTGCATGTGCTCCACTGTGGTCTAAATCATTGGTCCCCAGCCTTGGGCCTCCAAATGTTCTTGGACTTCAACTCACAGAAATCCTGGCCAGCAGAGGGAGTGGTGAAGGCTTCTGGGAGTTGTAGTCCAAGAACATCTGGAGGCCCAAGGTTGGGGACCATTGGTCTAAATGGTACCCTCCAGCATCTGTAGGCTCCCCCACAAAGTCCCTTTGTGGGCACATGGGGAGCAATTCTGGCATATTTTGGGAGTCCCTAGTACCTTTCCCCCAAAAACCCTGGATTTGTATTTTTAAAAAAATGGTCACTAGAGGGCAACAGGGGACTTTTTCCAGTTTTCCAAATAAAAATATTTTTAAGGTACCTCAGAAGTGGGTGTGTGTGTAGGCTTCGATAGGCTAGGACAGCCCATAATCTGACTCACTTTCTTTGTTTACGTTCAGTGAGGTCACATTTGTGATGGGAGTCTAACATCAGAAGTATAAATTTAATCTCTGTTAAGCAATTTTACCAATGGGAGGCATGAATGCTGAAGGGGAACTCTCTCTTTTAGCTTGTTACAGAGCATTTTCATTTACGGTTTAATCTCTCTCTTTTTAAATTAAATTGTAGGACACTTTCATTTTTCACAGTATTACACACAGTTATGGCTTTGGAATGGTATCACCAAGAGACTTTGTCTACCTGCTGCATGTTAGAAAATATGAAGGAGATTTAATGACAACAAACTGTAAGTCATCATGAATCACTGGAACAGGATTAATGGATGAGTTGTCCTGGTATGACCCCTACTCACAAATGTTGAGTTGGGGTTTCCAGGGGTCCAGTTTAGGCAGCCACCACCATAGTCAAGTGAAAAGTAGATGGCATGCAAATCAAATAGGCTTTAAATTCTTCACAATGAATAAAATATGCATGCAAAGACAGTCCGTTGAGATCAAAGGTCAATCTCCCTCACTTCTCATGGAAGAAGAACCAGATGGATTTTTGGTGACTAGGGCTTGACACCCACCCTGCAGTCCACACATATACATATATGTGTATGTACAGTACCGTATGTGCAAGAGATGTATATTACTTGTTAAAAGCAGGATACGGACCCTTGGGTGCAAATATTGATTGATTGAGTGAGTATACCACCCTGTTAGTGCAGATGGACTGCTCTGGGAAGTTTACAGTCGATTACGGCTCTTGGGTAGAACCTCAGCAGAAAATTGCTGATAAATACTTCTGGTGCACATATGGGGTAGAGGAAGTTATAACTTTGACCGGTTGCCTGAGGAGACCTTCACCTTCCTGTGCCAGTTGTCCAGACTTGCCAGAAAATGCTACAGTTGATTTGCTCATTCTTGAGCTGTGAGCCAACACACACCTTATTGGAAACCATTAATGCTACAGTTGATTTGCTCATTCTTGAGTGTGAGCCAACACACACCTTATTGGAAAACATTCTATTTATTTGTTTGTTCATTTATTTATTTAATTTGTATACCTCCCCATTATTTATGTATTTATTTATTGCATTTATACCCCGCCTATCTAGTCCAACGACCACTCTAGGTGGCTTCCAACATATATAACAATATATAAAATATAACAAATTTTTAAAATATCAATAGACAAGTTATTCAAGTATTCAAGATGGAAAAAGAGAAAAAAAAGAAAGGAAAAAAATAAGAAGAAAAACCAAAAAAAGAAATCAAGTATTAAATGGAGGGATAAAGGTAAAGGTAAATTTTGTCCAGTCGTGTTCGACTCTAGGGGGCGGTGCTCATCCCCGTTTCCAAGCCATAGAGCCAGCGTTTTGTCCGAAGACAATCTTCCGTGGTCACATGGCCAGTGCAACTCAGACACGGAACGCTGTTACTTTTCCACCGAAGTGGTACCTATTTATCTACTCGCATTTGCATGCTTTCGAACCACTAGGTTGGCAGGAGCTGGGACAAGCGACGGGCGCTCACTCCGTCGCGTGGATTCAATCTTACGACTGCTTGGTCTTCTGACCCTGCAGCACAGGCTTCTGCGGTTTAGCCCGCAGCACCACCACGTCCCCAAATGGAGGGAAGGCCTGTGTAAACATGCAAGTTTTCAATTGGTTTTTAAAGATGCCCAGCAAAGGGGCTGCACGAATCTCTGGAGGGAGATTGTTCCAGAGGTGAGGAGCTACCGCCAAGAAGGCCCAGTTTCTTGTTTTTTCCTTTTGGGCCTCCCTCGGCGTCAGGCTCCTCAGCCTCACCTCCTGACTCGATTGGGTGATACAGGGTAGATTTTGTTGGGAGTAGGTGTTTCGCCAGGTATCGAGGCCCTAAACTGTTTAGGTTTCGCGTGAAAGCTCTAATTTGGGTGGTTTACAATCCACTAGAACAATGAATATGTATAAAAACAACAAAATGGCAGTCAAAGCATCCAGTGGTGGAAATGTAAAATGAAAAACAGCACAGTCGTGTGACCCATCTGGAGCAGGTCATGCAGGGTTGCCAAAAAAATAAAAAAAGGCCTCTGGGTAAAGCAATGTTTTCAACAATCTTTTAAAAGAAGGAAGGGAAGTGGCGAGATGTCGCTCCACTGGCAGTTGGTTCCATATTGTTGGAGCCACTCCAAAGAAGACCCTACTTCTAGTAGAGGATTTCTTGGCCTCGCTTGGAGTGGCTACCCTGAGAATCATGGCCTGGGAGGACCTAGTGGGCCGGGTAGATGACCTTAGGAAAAGACGCTCCAGGAATTTGTCTTAAAACAGGGGTAGAACATGAGCCACTTGCAACCACCGGGGAACCCTGAAACCGGTCCCCCAACTTAAACCATTTTTTTCGACCCAAAAAGCCCCCGAGACTTTTAGAGTGTGTGGGGGGGGCACCAGTTTTGCTCTGCACTGTTATAGGCTAGGAAAGGCTGTCTTCTTTCCTTACCAGAAGTTACTCTTGAGGGGCTTATTTGAGTGAATTTATTTTTTTTAAGGTTTTTTGGGCAGGTTGAGTTTGGGGCCATGTACACCCCTCCAAGGTACTACCCACCTCTTGTCTTAAGATCTTTGGAAGACGTACGCTACAGAATTATAAGA